GCCGCCATAGGCTGGAGGAGGGTAACCAATAGGCGAGCCCGCATATGAAACAGGACCGGCCGCTTCGGGAGAGTAAGGATAAGGAGGGCTCCTGTTACTGTAGACCGAGGGCGGAGGGGATGCATATGGAGGTGTGGCATACTGAGGGGAATGGGTCGGGGAAGATCTCGTGTATGCGGATGGAGGAGGGAAGGACGAGACATATGCGTTTGTGCTACGGCCTGCCTTTGCTGGAGGCATCGGGCCGTTATAGCCAGCTCGGGTTCTCTTGTTGGCTGGAACAGCTGCTGGTTTTCGCTTCTCCGTCTTGGCCTTCTCCAGCTGATCCAACCGCTTCTTGAGATTCTCAGGCGGGAACTCCTCCTCGAGTTTGTACTCTTCTATGCACTTTACGACGGCCCTCAGTGCCGATTGCTCCTTCCTCACGGCAAGATGCTGAGAAGACAACAGTAGTCCATTAGAACATCTCGTTCATACAAAAGGGTCATGCCCATATTTGGTATGAATACTCTCGGTTCATATTCAGATCAACTATAGAGCGATTCATCTGTTTTTATCGTCGGAAAAGAGAAGAAAGTATATACCGGAGCTCGGCCAGGGTTGCTGTTGGGATCCTCCATGATAGATGCTGCTGCTTTCTTTGCATCCCTAAGATAAGCTTTCAGCAAAGGAACTGGGGGGAACTTGTCTGTAAGACCAACTTCATAAGTGAAATGCACTGCATCAAGCTGCTGTCCCCTTCTGATCAATTCTTCAATCATGTCTGCAAGAAGCATAATGATCCAAACCCATCAATCTCCAACTCCAGATTATACGAAACAAGAACTAACAAAAGGATCGAACTTTATATGTCCACGGCCTACTTCTGTTCTACCCGACAATTCTGCATCACCAATCACATGCAATGACAAGCAAAAGTTCGTCATCTATACACCGGCGAGAACAAGAACGGAGAACATCGAAAATCGGGTATTGATATTTATCATCAAAGCCATCGAACAGTCTGGAGAACAGCAACCCTCGAACGAAAATAAAACCTTCGGGATTCGCAAACTTGCAAGCAGAGAGTTTTGCACAAACCCATCTATGAACATGGCAAAGGAAGTAGAACCTGAAGTATATATATTCACGACCTGCATTTGGGAAGTTGAACGACTAACCTACAGAAGTAAATATATTCACAACCTAAACTATTGAATCCTTCATCAACACCATCCAACGTTCCTAATGCTCCTCTAAGCTATACAGAGCATGATCCACGAAAAGGGTAGAGTCGAAAACATGAGCTTTACCAGGCATTTGATCGCCCAAACCTACAGAAACAGCGAGCTTAGGCATCTGCTTCCTCCATGCCGATCCAACCACAAGCTTCCTGTACAGAGCAAGATCTTCCTCCTTCACGATTCCAAACGTCACCAGATGCTGCAGAAACGTGTGCACATCAGGGGTCTTCACGTTTTCGATCCCTCCTCTCTCCTCCAAGCTCGCCTTCCATGTCTCCGCTATCTCCTTCGCCTTCTCCTTCACGCTCGGCGTCACCAGCAGGCGCGATTTTCCCATCACTGGATCCACCATTACCGGTATCAAGCTTTCCAGTATCACAACACAAGCCCATCCCAAATCGTTGGTCTCTTTCTCTCCGGATTCGTCTCCGTCTCCGCCGCTCTTCTCCATGTCTCGGCGATCTCCTTAGCCTTCTCCTTCACGCTCGGTGTCACCCCCAGCCGTGATTTCCCAATCACTGGGTCCACCATTACCGGTATCAAGCTCTCCAGAATCACCACACAAGCCCATCCCAGATCATTGGTAGCTTTCTCGCTGGCTTCGTCTCCGCTGCTCTTCCCGGCCCTCTTGTCCACCGGAAACACCTCAGAGATCGCTTCGAGCACGAACTTCGCCGGATCCACGCATTCCACCAGCGCCGCCGGAATTTGTGCCCGGAGATTCTCCAGCTCCTTCTTCCTCGCCGTCACTACCTTCCAGAGTTCTCTCGATTCCATCTTAAGGCAGAAGCTTTTCAGTAAAGAGAGTAGCCCATCACCATCTTCGACCTCACCTCCATCTTCAGCGCCAGAACCGCCACCTCCAGCCTTCTCGAGCGACACCAGAGCAGCCTTGGCACTCTCCTCGACTTTCCCCAGGGCGATCTCGACACTATCGTCGATCGTGACCTCACGATGCTTGAGCGACTCGAGCGAGGCCTGAGTCTGATTGTCTAGGGTCTCGATCATCTGCTTCAAAGCCTCCGACTTCTTCATGAGATTCTGCTCCAGCGAAGTGAAGTGGTCAGAGAGCTCCTTCCACCGAAGAGTGCAGCTCGTCATCAGCGAGGTCTGCCGCTGGAACTCGTCGAAGCCGGGTTCAGCCAACTCAGTCAACTCGCCCGGATCGGGTATCGACCCCATCGCCGGTCTGAACGGTACGGTCGAGAGCACTCCAAAGCTCCGATCGATCCGTACAAAAAGGAAGTCACTTTAGCACAGAAGAAACAGAGAGACGGTAACAAAGCTATGGAGTGAAATCTCACGAAACCTGGAAATGGCAATAGTAGGAACGAGGAAATGAGAACGAAAACGATGACGTTGATGACCCAGAATGTCGACACGTGTCACGGCGTCTGGTTACAGACAAACTGCGCCGGGGTGCGCAGGTTAGTGACGGCACAGCAGAGAATGATCAGTGACCTGTGCTAAGGTGAACGGGATATGCGTAGAATAAAAGTGATGGATGATGACGTCAGACAAGGGCATGTTTGGATTACGCTTGGCTTTCTCGTGAACCGAAGTCAGATCGCTTAAGTGGGGAAAAAAAAAGCTGAGGAAAGTGGGCGAGGGCCCAGTGACCATCACATGCATTGAACCAGGAAACAGTGAAACATTGCCGGGTAAAATATACGAATGTTTAAATTATTTTGGGAATACAGAATTTTCATACAATTAAAAAATAGGATACTTTTTTAAATAAATAAAGAATGCAGACGAGTGCAGTTTAAAATATATAAAAATATATATATAAAAAAATCTGACCAAATAATAAACACGCGCATGGAGTCACGCATGAAGGAAGATTTTGGTTCCAAAGTGTTTGCCCTCTAAATCTGATAATTAAGTGCATGATTAGGCCCTCTTGGTTTATTTGTTTAGGCTTTAACACACGAAGAATTTCAAGACGACTAATGATTTTAATTCATGGGACTGATTTGACAGGTGTTGCAGTAACATGCATGATTAAGACACTGCAGACAGAACCCCTTGAAGATTTCATTATTATAATTATGTACCTATATATACACTATGTAGACACATCCTATATACAGTGCAAAAATAGCCATCAGAAGAAAACAATAGACATTCACAGACCAATTATTATTTTTTAATAACTGGTGGATCTTGAATTTTAAAAGAAAAAAAACATAAGACGCAACAGATGAGACAGACCCAAGAGAATCAATTTCTTCTATCACCTGAGTAACTAAGAAAAGCAAGGACATTTAATGTGAATTAGTGATATAATCAAGTTTCCTTAGCAAAAAAAGGTCAAATGCTATGCCAAGAAACCAAAGGCCAAATATCAATAATAATCTAATCAGTAGAATTCATATTTGCCAGCAGAGATACATGAAAGGAGCAAATCCATGTGTATAAAGGTAAAATCTAGAGAGTGGGTGCTAATAGATTAGTAATGCCTCTATCTATAGCCTTTTCTTCACTGCAATCCATAAACCTAAAATATCAATGCAGCTATATATAGCCAAGCTATGCGCCGACACCCACCTATAAAGCTATAGTGCAAACAACACTAACACAGGATATAAGGGGTTTAGCTACAGAAGCTAAAGAACAAACACCACTTGGCAAAAGGGCAAAAGAAAAAACAAATGGAAAAGAAGACATGTATAACCACTACACCAATTGTATATAACTTTAGATTCAGACAAGAAAGACGAATCTCTGAAAGCATCAACCACTCACACAAAACAAATATTCCAAAGATGCTGAGGTGCGCAGGTTAGTATGTACACTTACTAACCAAAGCAGAGAAGGAATACAGAGTAGAGTATGACTCCAAAAGGCTTATAGATGTCTAAGCCTGCGTTTCTCTCACAAATCTCAACCTATATCATGCATCATCATCCCTTGGGGTTGAGGTTTTGCACATATTTTATGACCAGTGAACAATGACTACGAGATGTTTCACTGGAATTAGGGAGATCATAGACCACCACCCTTTTGATCTTGTCTCGAGCTTGACATAAAACTAGGACCCAAAGATTCATAAATTAAGTGTACCTTTCTTGCTGTTTTCAGGAAGGATCAACTACTTGGATGAACTGACTTGTCTCTGAGGCTCTCAACTGTGGTCTTCCTCTTTGTGTCAAAATCGACTTTGTCCAAATCCAAGATGGTAGCGAGATAGCCGTAAAGGACCCTCCTTTTATCACCGGTCCTGTTGTCTATCTCAACCAGACTCGGGTTTTTCTCGTCGTCTTTGCCTGGAATGAATACCGGTAGTCTGGCCCAACTCTTACGGCCACGATTATTCTTCTCAAAGTAATCTGCAAGTCTCATAGCTTCCTTGAGGCCTGATTCATCACCCGGAAACCGAAATAGAGTAATGCCCAGGTGACCATCTCTTCCATATAAGGACCTCGACTTCCCAGAAGTGAATCCTAGCTCTGTGAAGACATAAACACCACAAAAAGGCAGGAAAGCTGTGTCATCAAGAATTCGTTACACGGTTGCATCCCTACCATCTAGCAAGTGTTGGTAACCTGTTCGATCTTCGACAGCCTATTTCAGATGTTTCCTTGGTAGTTCATCCCTAATCTTATCTACATACAGGTACCATATTATTCTACAGAAATAGTGCAGAAATAGAGACAACCAAGATCCCCTACCAAATGACCAGGGAAAAGAGTAACTAATCAATGATACATAGAAGAAGCTGATAATGCTTATCACAAGGCAGTAAAAGCAAACTCGAAGAGTAGTTTAAACGCTAAACTATCGCAAGCAACGAATAACTGCCTCCTTAAAACATAGAATAACAAAGGAAAGGCCAGAGCTCCAACCAAATGGAAGAATAAGCTCTATAGTATTGTAACAAGTCACAGTAGGTTCAGAATCTGGTAAAATATAACATCGTCCAGAATTTACTTCTCCAATACTTCCTTTTCTCGAGTATAATGAAAGGGCATCCTTTCCTTATACTGTTTGCAACACAAAGAAGAGGAATCACGACCTCTCTTATGGATGATCAAGGAGATGGTTGTTGTGGAGCATGTCGGAGAGAAACAAATAGTTGCTGCAGCTTATGGGTACACTACAGAGGAGTTATCTCTAAGACCGCTTAGACCGGGGCCTAAACCTAATGGCAAACAAAAGAATACTGTTATCATTCCTAAAGGTAATCCTTCACGGAAACACTTACAGAGATGCCATCGCCTATGGGCATTGTATGCGGGAGTCATCTCTAAGGTAGGGTCCTAAACCTAATGGTAAACAAATGAATATCATTAAAGGTAACCCCTAAGGGAAACACTTACATTCCTGATACATCTCTACAAGGAAAAAGAAGAACGAAGAAAGAAGGAGAGCAAAATCCTAAGGCACGACCAAACCAATGCAAAATTCATGAATTTTGCCAGGTGGTGTTGTTCTGGAATGTAAACAAAAGAATTTAAAATAAAGGACCACATGCGATACCTCTGATTATGTTATCCATAGCTTTGTTTCCATAGCCTTCCATGCGCTCTTCTTTGCCCTTCCCAGTACTGGTATTGTGAACGATAACATGAGGTGGCCAAATAATAAGATCATCTCGATTAGCTGCTGCCACTTCAGTAGGCAATATCTGGTATGCCTTTGAATGATCGGGAACCTTTGAGAAATCCCATCCCATTACTAGGCACAGAGCTCTGTGCAAGCCTAAGTGATCCACGCGTTTGTTGCCATCATCAGAACCATATGCATGCATTATCATACCATGGATATCCTCAACATCTTTAGAAGACCTGTGATTTAGCATCAGCGGAATTGGAGATACTTATTCAGATTCACTACGCAGATACCGCGTATAATAACCTAGAGGTTCAAACTCATGACAAAAAGCAACAGCCTGTTTTCGTGCAGTTATTGACCTTCATTGTTAACACTCAAATCTGCGGAAGTATACTTAAATAGAACGACTTGCAGAGCAACATCTGCTAAGCAGGTGATGTTGGAGAACTTATAACTATTAGTCATCTTTAAGTGGGACAACCTAAAGATGAAAATAAGATGAGAACTAGGGTTTTTATTCAAATAGGAAAAATATAGCAACAGAAACAATTCAATAAACCCCATGAGATAGCTCTTAGTGATTATTACTGTGTGGTAAAGTTGACTGTTTAAACATATTTCCCGATTTGAACCATCATAATCAATAAAGCAAAAGGGAAAAAAGAGTAAAAACTTTTGAGGCCATACACTTAACTTCTACCCACGGAAGAACTAAGGGTGAGGCATATTCTGAGGCATAACAGTACACTTAATTTAGATTTAGAAGCTATCACAAACTATAAATCCCAAAAAACAAGACTCTTTGCCATTGATTTTGATGGCCACTAAAATAACCATATACCTGTCATACCAAACAAACCATAATATATACATCTAGTTAACTGGATAGAACAGAGTGTCAGGAAGGGGGTATAAAGAATTTGGAGCTTTTAACATCATACAACACCAAAAGAAGCAAAAGCAGGATTGACCTAACAAGACTAACATGCCTAATATTTCACGAAGAAAGCTCCATCAAGCACAAGCAAAAATTGCTCAGGACAAGAAAAGAACTTTGTAATCTGACCACAAATACAGAAACTAAAACAGGATAATATGACTAAAACAAAATCGCTGAGATTCTGAGAAGTGAGAATCAGAACTGATTACTATCCCTAAAAGAGTGCAGACTTCAGGTGTTAATAAGACTAATATAACGCAGCTGAAATAACTTTTGGAAACTTAGGAAGCAACTATGTTCTTGATAATCTATGTAGCACAGGCGTAATGCTGAGAAGAGTAAAATATCATGCAAGAATGAGAAACTGAGGCAAATAAATTAAGGTACCCATGCTAATCAACAATCAAATGTCTAGAAATATCGGCACCTTTTCGAACTTGGAATAATATTGTAGTGAACATTATAGCAAATGTAACAAAGAGTCACAGACTAATAGCACTGGTCGACAGATAATTAAACTAATTAGTAAGCTATGAAAGAAAAGAATATCTTCCATAGCTACCTTCCAACAGTATATATAGGAGGAGAAGGATAATATGAGATTTTAGTTTCCAGTCCGAACTGATTGAATCACTACGTAACATTTAGGTCTAATGCCTACCAACTGCTGTTAAAACCACAACTTCAAGAATGAAGGCGAACCAAAAGTAATTGCATATACAAATATTCTGTAAAATACTTTACAGCTTAGAGCACAATTCAAACAAGAAATCCAGGATCATCGAATCCATCTTAACCAAGGGACCTAGCATGCAAAGCAAAAGCCCTTAAGCTTATAAAATAGATTCAATCACAAGAAATCAACAAAAACGGAAGCCTCCATGCCTAATCTTCCTAACTCATACAATTGGCCATTTCCAACTTAAAATGAGGCAGCTCCAATGTGATTAAACCCATTACAAGAAAAAGTTCCAGACTATAGCACCACATATTTCACTAGCAATTTCAAAAACTTCAACAGGCCAAAATAAATTTAATACTGTCAATATATTAATCAAAAGGAGCTAAAAAGTTGTTTAGCAGTTCTGTTGTTCTCTCTTACTTTGTTCATACTCATTTATCCCTCATTCCCTCTAAGACACACAAGACAGACCAAAGCAACCATCAAGAGAAACATTACCACGGAGTCCAACAAAAGCAAACTAAATCGAACCAAACAACAAAAACATAAAACAGATTGGAACCCATCAAACCTGCCACAAACAAGACACTGAAGCCGCCCCCTTTTCCCGTCCTCCAAGTATTTCTTCCTCTCTGCAGGGTTCTCATAAACCAGCTTAACATAATGCAAAAACAACTTCTTTAGTGCAACCTGGTCAACCTCAAGATTCTTAGGCACCTGACCTCCACTCTCATATCCACCTGATCCTACCCTCATATGTTTCGGTGCTCTCATATCTTCTCCAAAGCTTCTCCGAAATGGGCTACTTGCTCCGGAATTCGGGTACTGCATAAACTGTTGCCTTTGCCCATTCAATTCACCTCTCTCATTCCTCCTGTCATGTTCTTCTTCACCAGGATACTTCCTTTTCATCGACACATCTGCACGATCCCAATGTTCCCGCCTATCTCTGAATCCTTCGGGGCTAATCGGAGGAGGGAAGCGGCCAAACTCAGGCCCTAGAAACCTATTACCAATCGGGTCAACGTATCGGGGAGGAGGAGGAAAGTCCTGGTAATCAGGTGGAAGCGCGAAGTAGGAGCGGACACTGCCGTCGGCGAGAACAATGGATCGCCGCTCAAGCATATGGAACCCGTAACTCGGCGGAGGAGGAGGACCGAGCGCCGCCGGGTCCGGGAAGGAAAATGGAGCCGGAGGAGGAATAGGAGCGGGTCCAGATCGGGGAGACGGGTCGGATAGTGAATTCGGGTGCTTCGGTGGGGCTTGGCTCGGCGTTGCAGGACCTGGCTTAGGAGAAGGGTTAGGCCTCCAAGGCCGCTTCTCGGCGGATTTTTGACCGGCCGTCGAGTTGCTGTTCTTGATGTTGACGCCAACGCCGACGCCGTCGTTGTTGTTGCTCGATGACCAACGGGATTTACGGCTACCGCCACCAGATTGTGCGGCGGACGACGACGGCGGCTTTTGCGCAGGAGGCTTCGAATGGTCGCCTCCAGTCATCTCAGTGGACCTGAAGCGTTATCTTCTGATAAATCACCTTTCGCCTTCAGATAATCGAAGAAGATGAATCTGAGAAGCAATGGAGGAATCGATAAACACGCGAATTTCACGAATCTGATGAAGAATTAGGGTTTCGGCTTATGCGGAGTTAGGGGAAAGAAAATCATCAACACTGAAAAGAATCGGAAACGACGCCGTTCGACCGCTTAATAAGCCTAACGTTGACCCCCCCCCCCCCCTGTGAAA